GTCATGGAGCAATCGACTGCATTCGACCAGAGGATTGATTCCCGTAGGGCGGGTCTATGATAGGAGCTACTACACCAAGCGTTACATAGCTGCTTGCAAGGGATTCAGTTGGACTGATTTGGTGAGATTGTTCCATTTTTCTACTTTTGTCTATTTAAACTTAATTTCTATGAATGCGTATCGTTTGGAATCATTTGATTCGGATGAGACTCTTAACTTTTATTTGTTTACATTGTGTTTCAATTGGTATTCTTAACAACTTCACAAAATAAGGTTTCAATATTTAAATTGAGCAGATCGACTAGCCTGGTGGCTGCCGCTTTTGCTTACTGAGTCGGGGATCCACATTGTAAAGATTCCCTATTTTCAGCTTTTTTACAGGCTGGAGTTGTTGTTTGAACCATTTAGTTTATCAATTTAATTTATCTGTATAACAATTATTCACAAGCATTCTTGCAGGTCAATTCAAGAATAGTTTGATGATGATAAATCTTCCTAATATTCACATTACAGTTATGACCCGATCCTGTCAATCTCTCCGCGCATCAGACTGTTATTTTTCAATAATTCCACATAATTGTAATTTCATACCTTCCTCCTTCAAGATGAATGTTTAAGATACACATACTTTGCTAGCTGACAAAATGGGGTCATTGCTGTATAATTATTCTCTTTTTGCAGCCTTCATTCAGACTGGATCTATTGATTTAAATTATTTCAGTTTTCTTCCAGCTCTTTGATGACGGAACATCACTAGATTTATACTGTAATGATTCACTCTTACAGTTTTCACCCTGGTTTTGTCTGTTGATTTGATTTGTTTGAATTGGTTTTCAGCTCTTTGGTGTTGGCAGTCGCGGGCGATCAATTTTGCTCATGCTCATGCTCTAAGTTCATTTTCAACATTTCGATGATGGAACGTCTTCAGATTTATATTATAATGGGGCTTATTACGGATGTCACATCACGGTGAAAAGTTGTCACTTGTCGTCACGGAGAAGTGATTCCCATTTGATTTGTACGGTAATCACGGCTCTTATTCTGAGTATCACTTTCTTATCACCGTGTAGTGACACCCGTAATAAGGCCCAATGATACACCATTTGGTTCTGGCTTCGGGCAAATCCAAGTATAATGCATGATAACACTGATTCATTTAAAACCATGGTCGCATCACTTATCAAGGTGAATCCTGATCCAACGAACCCAACTTACTAACAAAATCTCCTTTTCTGTGTCTTTTGTTGGGGTGCAGAGGTAAACACGGCCCACAAACAACAAAGGTCACTCTAATATTCCTTCCCTACTCCCACCTGATTGCAAGAACGTGGCCGGCGCCGTTATTGATCTACAACATATAGAGTCACTGAAACTTGTACAATGAGAATGGACGGTTACTCCCAGCCCCATTCAGTTGATTCATTGTACAGTTTCACTGATTCTGATCAATCACGGAGTGCAGTCAATCTAAGCTAAGCTAGCTATTGGTTATCCTATTTGTATAGTGTTTATAGTACTACATATCTTTCATTATTGACTTTACATCATTTAATATTATTGTAAATTACATTTTATTATACTTAATTCTTAATGTTAGCTATTATGAGCGGCTCCAGGAAAGCATAGTGTCAGCTTGAAAAGAAATCTGAATCGTTCATTATCTGTTTTGGAAAAATCTTGTGTTTATTGTATCTTGTTACATGGCATTATAACGCATTTTCAATATTACATTACATTTAAATAAGTATTAACCCGGTTACACACATTTCAGGTCATCCAGGTCTTAAATAAGATGGGATCCGTTCCTTTTATCAACAGTTGTGATATTGCATCATATGCTGAAAATATATGAATTATCGCGTATTTCTGTTGTTCATTACATACCAGGTGAGGGCTTAATCATGTTTTGCCATCTAGTGTTTTGGTTTTGAGATGCTCGATAACCTTAGAGGGATCGGTTTTGCTTAATGAGCAGAACATCATGGGTTTAATCCCAAGCTCTCCCACAACATAACACAACACAAACATATCAAGTATCATTCTAGCTAAAAATATTTATTTGCATAATATAACCTGGAAATTTCAGGGTTACATCTTCCTTATTGGGAGCTGAGGAGACATAGAGCTGCATCATATTGTATGTAAAATAATTATTATTTTCATTGCGGAATACCAGTTTTAAATGTATTTTCATTATTACGTATTTTAATGTTCTGATATATTTCATTTCTCCATTACATATGTTTACTATATATATATAAATAAATACTGGGTTGGGAGGGAGCATCAGGGTATCATTTGACCTGGAACTGGACGATTGGAGTGGTATGACAACCGGAGTCTAGGAGGGAATAAACACTATCATTTTCTTTATCCTACCGATTCGATTGTGATGGTGTGAATTCTACTCCAACAGTTTCATGGAGATTGACGCGCCCTTCTTAACAAACCATCCTGTAGGAAGCTTAATAAGTATTGCGAATTGCGTTATTCGATTTGTTGGATCGTATCGTTGGAAGGAGATTCTTAAATTCCCGTGGATTTCGCGTAAGTGCCTCTGCTTACGGGTCCACCCCACCGTTTTTGGCCCTTCATACAGCGATATTGTGAATTCAGATCGGTAGCTCAAATTGATCTTGCTATTAAGTGGAGCTGCATACAAGACAAGATCTTCGAAGGGATGGTGGCTACCTTACATACATACATACATACATTTGGCCTGGAACTGCTCTACTCAGAATTCAATACCCTCGAAATTACCTTGACAATCTCATCAGAACTCTTTGAAAATTCTTCTTACAACTTATCTAGAAAATTTATTAGAAAAGGATCTAGATTCCTCATCACAATCAGCATGGATTTTACCCCAGAACTACCTAAAACATCTACCATGAAATCACAGAATTTCATTTTATTTTCATTTTATGATGTACAAGGGGGTCAGGGGCCATGTCACCGATGTGAATATTCACACCATCCATAATACACCAGGGAAGGGGAGAGGAGTGAGCAACACAGCATCTTTACCCATGGGGGTTAAAAAAGTTCTGCGAGGTATACTTATGGTAAACCAGCTGCTCAGGGATTGTAGAAAGGAAAGGGTTGGGTAGGTTTTGTGTGAAAAGCGCATAAGTTATTATCGTATCGTTGAAAAATGGCCTCGTTTGGTTTGCGCTCTCGTCACAGAGCGCATTGATTACATCACACCGTCAATGAAAAAGAAATTAAAAGAGATTGAAAGAGATTATTAGTGAGTTTTAAACTGTGATTTACCTATTAGAAATACATTTGTAAAATTGTCTCCGTGTACTGAACAACCATCCCTCTCGCCCTCCCACCGCCTAAACGTCTGAAGGAGTGTGACGTCAAACTCCGTCATCCATTCAATCAGCCGGAGAACGAAAGAGCGTGCAATGAGCGTCAGCGACCCTAATAAAGGGTGGGGAGCACCATACATGAACGATACCACAAATCGTGCCACCGTACCACATATTGTTGGGATGATAACCCGAATAGGTTGTTAGGCACTCCTTATGGTTATCGTTTATGCGGGTGTTTCAAAGGATACATCTAATCAACCCTCTGTGCGACCCAACCCGTGCAATGTATTTAATGTTGAGAGCCTTGTGTGCCTTATCATGAGTGGTCACGGATCTGGCAATCTTCACATGACTATGCTTCCCGGTGACGACGACTACTATCTAGCCGGTTTCAATAGGTTTTATACAAGAGTACTAGAATAGATCGGAGTATACTTACAGTTTTCGACGTTCCCATGTACTCCTTGTTTACCTTCAATACTACTTCCTTCTCTTGTTGTATTGTGTTTCTGGATAATGGATCCTCGCTCCGGAATGTCTTCAAAACTGGGGGGATTTAAATCGCTCCTCGTGCACAATCCTTCCAGATGACCGAAAGAGCGCTCAGTCCGATTGGTCTCACCCGATATTCTTGAAATATTTGACATTTTGAATAAAACATTGCCATTTCGAGACTTCGTGTTGTTAGTTTTGTGGTCTTGTGCTTAATGCTTGATTTGTCTTTCGCTTCGTATTTCTAAGAATTGACTCTATAAATAGATAAAAAAAAAAAAACAAAAACAACGCTTCCCGCCGAGTGCAGAATCTTTGTGATGATACTTTCCAAACGTGCATATCCATAGAAATAAATCTAATTCAATAAAGGATTGATTTCTACTGCGACTAAATTCAGCATTCCTACTAAAATATCAAACGCTGTACTTAATCATTTATTATTAGTACAGAGCAATAAACAATGTACGATGATGATTAGTCTGTTGATATGCTTTTATAAGCGGGTTCAAATGCACTTTTGGTAAGTATCAACACTGATCTGGCAACACTAGTGTGCATCTTTCCAATGTGGTAAAGATCCAGATCAGCCCTGGGACCTGGTAGCCTAATTAAACTACCTCAAGGTTTTGCCAAAGCCCAGGGATCTACCATGAAATCACAGAATTGAATTGAAATTCTAATCCAAACTCTCTTTGAACTTTTCGCTGAAATAACTGCTTGTTTTCCCTAGAATTCAATCTTAAAATTAATAGTTCATCAGAGTGACTGCAACCTGAAAATCAACTCCTATCCAAGGGTCTTGACATTTTTGCAAGGTCCAGAATCTTATTCTTCCCGATTTGTTATCAAAATTCACGGCTTTTCCCGGTGATTTCAAATTCCCAGCGTTTCCCCGGTTTTCTCGATTTCCCGGTTTACTAGTCACAGCTGGAATTTAATCTTTTTATTGTAGAAAGAACTATTTTCTGGTCAAAATTGTAGAATTTTGTTCGAGTTTCGCTAGGTTGGCCATCTTGTCCCAGTTTCGCCTATGCGGTTTCTCAATCAAATTATTCACTTGTGATATATGTGCCTATATATGCAGCTATTGCCTATGTGTCGTATCGGCATAGCACACACAGAACCACTTTACTCTGCCACGATAGAGGGACAATTTCTCACAGAACATAATACTTTGACACGATCGGTTTTTAAATTTATTTTAAGGTCGAGAAAATGTTATCATCATGCAATCTTATGCCTCGGATACACTTGTATGACAAACTATGAACATGACCATTATTTGTATAATAAATTATGAGCACATCCATGCTCACACTTGTATAGCTTTTGTATAGTTGTTGTAATAGTGCTCATAATTATTATACAAATAATGCTCATGCTCATAGTTTGTCATCCGCGGCATTACTTTCATGTTTTCAGTTCAACACAATGCGAAATCTATCTGCAAAGCAAAACTTGGTGCGAATAGTCGAAAAAGTGCCATTGTTGGTGTTGCACTACGATTTCATTGTGTTCTAATTTGAATTGATACCGATGATGGTGGTCAAAAATTTATTTCGTTTTTTTTCCAAAGTGAGCAAAACTTTAATACCTTTTCACTTATTCAATTAGTCGATGGTTTGGAAAAGAATTCAATGAACATCTTACTACGCTATTGATGTAATGTATACCATTTTAAATAGTAATCCAATTTGGAAATTTCGCTTCTTTCACCTATGAATTGCTTTTCGAACATACCGAATACATCGTTTCACAATTTTCTTCAAAATAAAAAAAAAAACAGCCAGCATTAAAACAAGTGATGAAATAACATTAAAACGGAACTGCATTCTTTTAATCCCTATGGCGTGAAATATCTTTATAACTTAAAGGAAAAATACCCCTCCGAGAAAAAGAAGTAGAGGATAACCCTTGCGCACGAAAAATAACAACTGAAAATGCCAGGCATAAATGTACGATATTATTTACACGTATCTTGAACAAACCTATCCCAAAAGCGATAACAGACTATCAAGAGAATGGCAGAAAACGGAAACGACGAAGCGGTTGCTTTACTCATTTCTCGCTATCACTGGCATTTGCTCCGGTGGAAATTTGTCCATTGGCACCGTCAAGCACGAGCCCAGCTTTCGCTGCCTTGCTCTTCATGTATTTGGACTTAAGCTTCTTCCTACTGAACGACATCATTCCGCGTTCGCTTTGGCCATTCTCTGCTTCCGGCTGCTGTTGGCTAATTCGGTGTCCATGGCCTTTGCTGCGGCCAGAACTATGCAAGCGATCTTTTGCCACCGTCACTGGTCCTTCGTTGCTATCGCTCTCGTCGGCGACCGAGGCATCCTCGTCGACCGACGCGCTGTGGTGGCTACTACTGTTGATGCTCGTTTGATTCAGCAGAGGCATAATTTCATCAACCGACTTGGAAGCATTTCCACCGGTGGTAGGTTCTATGGTGTTGGCACTGTGGGAGTCATCCACTGAGTTTGAGAACGCCGTAGCGGACGAAGAGCCGCTCAGGTTGCTGTAATTGACTTTGGTTCCATTCGATATAGGCTGAGAAAACGACTCAGCCCGAGGCATGGTACCGTTACCGGAGTCGGTGCTTGCGGTTTGATATTTTCCTAAAACGACAAAAAAAAACACATTACGGTTATTTATTTATTTATTATTCTCTTCATCGGACTTTTGTTGTCTAAATTAAACGTTTAGTACCGTTATGCACCGAACGTTGGACGGTTTGTTAGTCAGGACATTTAATGTTTCTATTAAATAATAATTGGTTTGTGGATGCCGTGGCGCCCATTGGTTAGTTCGCTTTTATCTGTTCCACAAAGCGAATAATAGCACAGATCCTTGATGTATGGAGTAAACCGTTTAATAACAAAAAATGTGTGTGGGTTCTCTGGGAGTCGCATTATGGATAACATTTGTCTGAATCATTTCCTATGATTCTGTACAGTAAAGAGCAACAGTATGTTCCGGTACTTCCTGCAGCATATTATTTTCTTATAGCAATTTGCAGAAAGCTGCAGCAACCTACAACAAAAGCAAAAAAGCAAGTACGGGAACATACCTAGGCTATATCCGAAGACAACAAATCAAGAAGACTTGCAACTTTGCCAGAATCCAAGCGACAGATAAGGCCCACGCACATTAGATCCGGATCGGACGCGTTGCGGCAAAGTGACAGCTAAATCTATTGTCTAACTGTCAAATTTACGTCAACGCAACGCAAACGGATCTAATGTGGGTGGCCCTATACAGTGGCGCTGCGCTTGAGTGAAGGTGGAAGCAACGCATAGAAAAATGAGCAAATACACAAACCCTTCTTCTGAGGATGTAATCTTTGCTATCAAATTCGTTCGAAGCATTTACCTTTGAGCGGCAGATGACGCGATTGTACCTGTCTCATAGCGTTCGTATGAGAAAATGGAAGAGTGGCCAGTCTTTTTGATTTGTTGTCTTCGCTATATCCCAAGTGCCTAGTTAAATTTAACTCGTAGTTAAAAGTACACTGAGGCAAATGGACGTAAGAATTCCTTAAGATCCACTTATGAATTTTAGCCACAAGATATCAGTATGAATTTCACTGATTTGCCTTATTAAAAATAATGATGACAACAAAATAATAAAACGGAACAGACTAGAACCGAACCATGGACGTTGAGATTACGAAGTATGTGTGTTGACCACTTGTCTTTCAACGCTTGGAAAAATTAAATGGTTATAGGCGTATAAGAGCTACCACATGTTACATGTTCATATGTGTCGTTCATAAGTTGAGCCTTATGAAAGTCTTAAGTTTATTTGCCTCAGTGTAAGTTCGTAAGTTAATTTCAATGTTCGAAAATCCCTGTGCTGACGATCGAGCGGATAGCAGGGTTATTCGATAACATTCTGTTACTTTCAGCTACTAGTTAAATTTAACCCGGCAAATGGGACACGCCCTAATATCTTCAAATGCCTTCACCACCACTTCTTGGGTGAGTAGGGGTTGGGATCCAAATGTGGCAAAGAGGGGCAAGTACCCCTCCACTAATATTCAGGATTTTGAAATTTTCACGAAATCCTGAACCTTGACTAAGGGACTGTTCATAAACTACTTTGACAGCTTAGGAGGCGGCGGAGGGGGTCTGGCAAATTTTGAATTTTTATTTGCTTGAACGACTATCTATTCAGCTTATCGTTTACCAAAACAAACACTGCTGCAAAAAAAAAAAACTTAAGAACATTAAAATTTTTCAAGATACTCCATACTGAGCAAAAATTAAATATTGCAGGCTTAATTTTTTTCCAAGATTCATAGCCTATGAAATAAGTCTTATAGGCTATGAATCTTTGAAGTTTGATCACTTCCTTCTATATTTTTCCCAGTATTTTCATAAACCCGGCTGCGCTTTTGTTCGCTTACCATTTTCAAGAAGCTGTTTGAAATATGAAGTCAAAATGTTATCTTTTAAGAAAAAACATCAATAATTGATGCTACGATTACTCAAAGGGACGTATCAGCTTTTGTAAACAATGCATTTGATCGTCGATTTGGCGTAACTGGAAGCTCGCCCACGCATACTAATACCACTATCAGGTAGGGAAAAATGTACCCTATCTGATAATAGTGTTAGTATGCGTGGGCGAGCTACCTGTTACGCCAAATCGACGATCAAATGCATTGTTTACAAAAGCTTATACGCCGGCGTCGGTGGTGTAGTGGTAAGCGTGACTGCTTTCTAACACCCCGATGGGTCTGGGTTCAATCCCCAGCCGAGGTCGGTGGGATTTTTCTGAGGCATAAAAATCTCTGGTCACGTCTTCCTTCGGAAGGGAAGTAAAGCCGTTGGTCCCGGCCCATGTGTGTTGTGAATGGGTGCGATATCCTACGCAGGTGTGGAAATGGATGCCAATCGATGTCCGTCGGTGATTGGCACTAGATTGCGGAACAGAGACCGACGTTAAATAAAAAAAGGAAAAAACTTATACGTCCCTTTGGAAGAGTAATCGTGCATTGTGTACACCAACAAATACTTTAATATTCAAATATCTTAATATAGATTCAAAAGTCTTCACAAAAGATAAAAAGTATTCGAAAAAAAAATGTCTTCGATAAAAAAATGTTTACTCAGATATTCAGATCTCTTCAAAATAAAGACATGTCTTTAAATCTGGCGTCCTTGCCCGGGAGTTAGAATGTGATTGCTCACCGTAGCTCCAATAGCCCATTTCAAGAACGCAAGCACTCCAAAGTTATTTTCACACGCCACAACCCTGCTCCAATGCATTATCGAAACTAATATACTATACATCATTGATAATGAACTGAAACTTTCAATCAAGCATCAATCAATCAATGGATAAAACCTATATAGACTTCTCTGACGTTTGTGAATTGCACAAGTATTAGTGCAGAACTTTGGGTAAATTCAAAGATTTTCTTGCACTAATACTTATAATATACTTATAAGTTATAATTTACCAAAAACAACGTATCAAGAAGACTGGCAACACTTCTATTTTCTCATACAACCGGTATGAGACAGACACAATCGTGTCATCTGCCGCTCAAAGGTAAAAGCTACGAACGAATTGGAAAGCAAAGGTTCCATCCTCAGAAGAAAGGTTTGTGTATTTGATCATTTTTCTATACGTTGCTTCCACCTTCACTCGAGTCTGCACCGCTACTGTGTCTGTCGCTTGAATTCAGGCAAAGTTGCCAGTCTTCTTGATATGTTATCTTTGAATTCACCCAAAGTTCTGCACTAATACTTGTGCAATTCACAAACGTCAGAGAAGTCTATAGAGGAACCAAAAGGTAAATACATTTAGCTGAGAGTTGCAACAAACGGCACCTGATGCAACTTAAACGGAAGGATTTGATCATTGTCACTTAATGAACTTTTCAACACCACTTCAATACTTTCAATTAACACTTTTTAAAACGGAAATTTTAAAGGTTTAATTTCACAAGAACGAAAACGACGCAATAAAACAAAAACACCATAATACGGTTCCGATTCCCTGATAGTAAAAACTAGTCGAAAAGGAGATACGCTATTATTTTTTTTGCAAGAGAATGCATTGTGCTTCAGGATACCATTTAGCCAAAATTAAGCACCAGTCCGCCGAAATTGGCATGACTTACCCTCCGCTCCGAAGAATCCATTAGACTTCATCCCCGTTCGATGTCGCCTGTCCTTTCTGCTGCCAATCTCCAAAGAGTCCGAATTACTATCACCGCCTGCCCCCTGGTTAGCAGCCGCCACGTGCTGTTGATGCTTGAGTTGTTTTCGCCGCAGGTAGGTCACCAACCCGTCGGCGCTATCCGATTCGGATTTTTTCGATTCCTTTGACTGTTCCTTCTGTTGCTTCATTTGCTTCCGCTTCAGTTGAACCGACCGCGAAGATTCGTTAAAATCTCCATCGTTTTCGTGATACCCCTCGTTGTCCTCAAAGGATACACTTTTTTGCGGTTTCGTCGACTGCGTATTGAATGTACTGGAAGGAACTTCAGCGGGTACCTCGACAGCTGGATCCTGCTGCTGTTGCTGTTTTCCACTGGTCGTGGTGGTGGATTTCGCCGGCGGAGCTGGTTCCCCTACATCCATTGGTTCAATTTCGCGCTCCTGAAAATCGGGAGAGTGCTTATTAAGTCAATCTCAAATGAACAGATAAAGCACAAACCTTGGCCTGTTTCGACATCTTTGGCTCCGGTGGTGGCACTGGGTTTCCCCGGAGTACGATTTCCGGTCCTCCACCGTAGATCCCGTGGAAAAAGTGCCACAAAGTGGAATTTATCTGAGCATAGTCCGATCCTTGCCGTACACTTCGAAGCGGAACGCTCGTGTCGCCCGGAATGGCAATGGTTTTGTTATCGATCGGTCCAGGCTCGTCAGTGGTGACACCCCGCGCGAACAGTTGCCACTGACGGAACCATGCCATCGAAATTGCATAAATGGTGGTCGGGGTTTCGTTGTACTAAATCAGTAAGAAAGCGTTATATTCATGTTAGCCAGGGATGGATCACTCTTTTGGGATTTTTTCGTTACTTTTTAATATAGTAGAATGCTTACGTCAAATCCAATTGAATTTTCTTTTAACCCATCTTAAAATAGATAGTTTAGTGTTTTTAATATCCCCATCAAAATAGAAAATTTCCGCACCGCAGAGCCACACTCTGTTTTCACTGGAGGCACATAGAACAGACGTTGAGGCTTGAACAAAATTTATCTAAAAACTACACGGCGAATGAGAACGACTGAAATTTGAGTTTAGTTCACTCATAATCGCCAAAAGTGCAGGAACTCAGCGATGAATAAAATTTGTCCCATGGTTTCCTGTGGAAAACCTAAAAAATCTGCCGGAAAATGAGGAAATTGACGAAAATTTTATTCAGTCTCGGAATAGTACCAATAGACTAAGTGAATCCAATCTTTACTTTTCTCAAATTCAGGAATTTTTCCCTGGAAAATCCTGGGAAAACATGAGGCAAATTAACTCATCGCTGAGTTCCTGCACTTTTGGCGATTATGAGTGAACTAAACTCAAATTTGAGTCGTTCTCATTCGCCGTGTAGTGTTAAGATTGATGAATTTACGTTACGGTCGACCAGCAGATGGAACTGATGAGAAAATGATAATGACGTTTTGCTACCTGTCAAATCGTATGGAATATTTTTAGTACATAATCACTTTTGTGGTTTTGGATTTCAAACCTAGGTGTCGCATGCACTGGCAGTTTCGCCACAGAGAACAGACATGAAGGCTCGAACAAAATTTCTCTAAAAACTTGTGTAAAGATTCCTATTCGACTTATGCGCCACTAAAGGCGACTTCCCCACTCAAAAACTCTCTTTGACAACCTCATGGCGCTGGTGTTGTACAACTTACACTAGACACTAAGTGGCAATTTTCAACAGAAAATTTATCGATACTAGCGCCAAATTGTTCGAAAGTGGAAAATTTACAGAGGAAATCAGGAGATGCTAGCGCCACGTAATGACCACTTATCTTTTCATTACAAATTGATATGTTTTTGCTCTCATACGCTCTCAATATCACGCGTAATATTTGAGCAAAATATTGGCGTCTTGCAGTGAAACTTTTCCATGCTTTCGCCACCTACATTTCGAAGTGAGAACTACTAGAAGGAGGATAGTTTTCAAATTCTCCAAGTAAATAAAACAGACGATTTTTGGGGCAAATCGGTACATAAAGAAAAACTAATAATTTCCCGTGGAAACTTTTGCTTGAATCGTGTAAGAAAATGTGTTTGCAAACTAACTGTTATTATTTCGGTATGGATCGGAGATGTTTTCATGGAAAATTATGCATAACAAGTTTGCACCCACAGGGAGAGGTTACCTCCTGCGCAGCGGCATTTTTCGGATAATGGTGAATATGTGCGATTTCCACTAGGATGAAAGTGGAAATTAAGTGAATTTACTTAGGAAAGGTTGTATCATGCTGGTGGTAATAGAGATTGGTTGTATAGGACGCCAATATTCAATAAATGTTCATTTTGGCCTTTTGTTAGCAAACACACAATTTTCGACGGAAAACGCAACGGAACTTGCTTTACTGAACACGCACCATACTATAAAATGGTGCTAGATGGTCTTCAAAGCGATAGCAAGATGACAAATCATCTCTATTTTGAGTAATTGAGCAATTTACTTCTGTTTACATCATATTTACGATGCAGCATTGTTGGAGCCGCGAAATGAAATGAATATATCTTATGAAAGTTCAACTGGAAAAGTCAAAGTTGCACATCAGTCTGATCGTAAAAACGTTTTCTTCTTCAATTCGAATGTTATATTGGAAAGATTTCACGCAGGCTTGATGAAAATTATGATTTAATGCTAATTTTCACGAATTTTATATGCAGTCTGTCAACATTATCATCATCACGCAGTGGCGACATCTGCGTTGAGCTTTTGCGGCAATCTTCCAATCATGCTTTATATTGATTTTACAAGCTCCTTTGATGTTGCGAGACTATTTACAACGTGTAAAGTTGAAGCAGAGAGTTGAATCGACGCAAAAATCAGTGCCAAAATTTCAAAGGGGCGTAATTGCTTTTTGTAAACAATGGCTTTGGCCGTCGATTTCTCGCGAATAAAAGCTCACTCATAAAAGTTAATGACATCAGCAGATGAATGTTTCCTCTACCAGCTAGCATTGTTAATTTGTAGGGATGGGCTTTTATTTGCAAGAAATCGACGGCTAAAACGAACCCCACACGTATCAATATATTGACGCGAAGGGGAATTATTGATAATAATATTGATGATGTGAATACAGAAATATTGTCAATACCGATGTATTGACGTCAATATAGAATGTATTGACAATACGATTATTGTCAATAAAAGCAATCGTGTAGGGTCCACTTAAGGTCATTGTTTACAAAAGCAATTACGCCCCTTTAAAATGTTGGCACTGAAATGATTCCGTTGCACCTCGTTTTCTTAGAAAGAGAAGGGGCAACAATGCTATCTCTTTTTATCTTCATTGATGGCAGACACGAAGCGACTGCTGCCATTCGTCATGCAAGTTTCGGTTGTGTTCGGGTGTAAAGCAAACATCACGAAACTCAACCTCACCAGTTTGATGAGATCTAGGGGCACGCAATAACCTTTAACTCCAACGCAGGCAACGACTGTAATTAAATTAATTCCATTAACTACTTACTACTTACTTACAATAATTACACAATGTGAACATTAAGTACTTTTGAATTCCATTAATTACAGTCGAAATTTCGTAATTAAAGTACATAAATTACATTTTCAATACTTTTAATTACAGTCATTATTATTTCAAAACGCATTAATTACTAAGTTCTTTTGATTGCATTTTAACTTCAACGTACCGGTTCTTTGTATTGCGTGCCCCTCGGGTGAGATTTGTATCTCGTGAGTTTTGTCTACGAAAATCAAGCATGATCTATTTCTTTGGTAAGATTTGATGTTTTAATATTTTCTGATTTAGAGCACTATTGAATTCAACTTCAGTGTGGCTCTACGGTGCGGAAATTTTGCATTTTGATAAAACTACATTTATGTTTACTGAAAATTCAACTGGACTTGACCTAGCATTCTATAATAAAAAGTAATGAAAAATACCCAAAAGAGCGATCCATCACTGATGTTAGCAAAGAAAATCTGAGGCACCATCATTACCTGATACTCGTCATTGCAAGCGGTAAATGCTTCCAGCTCGGCTCGTTGCCTTCGGGACAACGATTCGGCCGCTTTCTTACAAATATGACAAGGAAATATATGATTGCAGACCGGTCCTCCACCGAATTTTTTGTACAGAAAGTCCCACAACGTTTGCGGAATTGGCACTACCAATTTGGAAAAATATGGAGCTTTATGCGGTGGGAACGCTCCATGCGGACAAAGCAACGTCCAGTTATCGATGGGTCCGGGTTCAGCAAATGTGTTGAATCTAAGGACAAAAGTTTGGTAAAATTATTATCGATTTCTCGAAAAATAAAAATAAACATACCTATGCAGCCAGTTCCGGGACACGTAGAACCTTATGTCGGATGCATGTTCCTGAACGCTAATCAAATCACTAGCCTGAGCTCTAATCGTTGTCATTTTGGAGTTATTCTTACGATAGAAAAGCACATAAGCCTCACAGTTCTGCACATCCTCCGGACTGACCTGCGTTACCAGCTGGTCATCGAACTCGAACCACTTCCCAGTGGGATCATGTTTGGCAAAGCTGGTGTAGTGGCCCCCTCCGACCGTACCATGGTGGCAGATGACCGCACAAAGATCGTACGTAGATACTTCCGATTTGCAGTCTTTGTGTAAATACGGCCTCATGTCCAATCCATTCAGTGGGAAATGAACCGGACTGGAAATTTTCGAACTATACGACAAATCGTGGCGGAATCGTTTCAAGTGGACACACAACATCTCCGGTAGCGCAAGTACTCGGGAAAATTTCACCCCATTGCGAAGTTTGTTACACTTTTCACAGCTGTACATATTATCCCCTTTCAGTTCATCCGCACTGAAAAAAGCTGCCATACAATCGTGCAGGGAAACGGCTGGTCCCCAGAACCAGGATCGAATCCAGCTCCAGAAAGGCCAATTCCAAAACCACCACATCCAGCTGTCACTAGTTACCGGGTAGACCGCATCGGAACATGTTATTCCGCTGCTACTTCCACTCACCGGTGGCGAAGGATGAGCGGAGTTCGGCATTCCAGGGTGGTTTTGGTGCAACACTGCAAGATGATCCTTGCCTGGAATGGGAAGCGATAGATCTTGGAATGTTTCTTCGCGGGTTGAGATGCGATCGCACGTCAAGCACTGCACCGATGACAATAACTTTCCGTCAAATATATCACTGATAATGGACCGTTCCGGCATTTTGTCCTTTGAAGATTTCTGTTGGTGCTGCTCGTTTGAGCCAGATTGTTGTTGTTGTTGTTGTTGTTGTTGTTGTTGTTGCTGGTGCTGCTGCTGCTGCTGATGTTGCATTGAAGACATGCTTCCACTACTGCTGGAATTACTTCTATTGCTGCCGATCGGTGATTGCTGCCGGCTGTTTGACGTAGGGTTTCTTTGGTTTGTACTGGGACTAGGAGATCTTGATACCATCCTAGTCCGTTTGTTAATGACCGAAATGTCATCCGACAGACTTGATTGCTCAGAAACTCCGCTATCGCATGTTTCGTATTCCGCTTCCGACTGTGATGGCGATGGCGAAGGGCATGGCGATTGGTCATCGCCATCGCCATCATTTCTACCCTGCAGTGAGAGTCGCTCCGGTGGTGGTTGAATAACTTCTTTCAGCTCTTCATGCAACTGGTCCATGAAGCAGCGAAGAAACTCCTGCGTATCATGCTGCTGGTAGCCTCGAAACATGGGATGAACAATGCGTATCCCGTACAGAATTCCACTCGGTACAACATACCGCCGATTTTTACACCACATTTCCTTTATCAGTTTATGGTAATGTTTAGCCAATCCCGGCTTCGAGACGGTTTGATTGCCTAGTAAATCCGTTTCAATGATCGACCCACAATCCAAAAAATATCCCGTCAACGGGGGACTGTTGCTAAGCGCTTGAATGGCCGAGTTCATGTAACAAGTGTTCGCTATGTTCTGTAACCCGACCAATCCATTCCATTTGCCGTGTCTTTCAAATTCATCTTCCTCGCAGCTGCTGTCGCACGATTCACCACCCCCAATCCCGCTGGTCCGATCACCATACATTAGCAGCTTCTCGTTGTTGTTGTTAACCGAGTACCGGCTGGCGTCGCTCGAGTCATTACTAACCACCGAAGTTCGTCTCAGCTGCTGCTGCTGTTGCTGTTGCTGCATCAGGAACACCTCGAACTCGCACATGTAGCACCATATTCGCTGAGAGGACAGGTTCATGTGGATGCAATGAGAGCGATTCGTCTGGAAATGGGTCGTGCTGTGGTCGTTGTACTGTTCCGAGCAACCGATGTGGAGACAATTTTTCTGCAGGCAGATCCATAGATTCGGGCCATTCGCGTCGCACTCCGTACATGGCTCTCCCTGGTGAGAAAAGGAATTTTGGATTAGAACTGGATTTAATCGACCTGACAGTCTGTGCTGACCGATAAGCTTTATCTACTATACGGAGAAAAATAAGCAAAATTTATCTATCGCAAGGTCAAAGTAGATGAGCAGGATTTGTTGCAAACATTTAAGACCATGCACAAGATAACCAGCTGGGGGTTGGTGTAAAGTAAAATGGCTTACGATTATAAATCATGCGGAAATTACAAATATTTAAAAAAAAAAAAAACATCAGTGGGGCTTATTACGGATGTCACTTCACGGTGAAAAGTTGTCACTTGTCGTCACGGTGAAGTGATTCCCATTTGATTTGTACGGTAATCACGGCTCTTATTCTGAGTATCACTTGCTTATCATCGTGTAGTGACACCCTTAATAAGGCCCAGTATTAACCGTTTCAGAAGTTCTACGAGAAGTTGAATAGGTCGGGGAAAGGCAACGTGCCGAGTGTTGTATTGTGATTGTTATTAAATTTTTCTGAAGTTCACGAAGTTCTTTGACATTTGCAGGACTTTGCTAAAGTTTGTATTTATTTCCTAAATTTCTAAGATCGTCTTTTGAAGTGTACAGAAATGATAAAATAATGTATTATTGAATTATAAGAGAAGGTGAGTGGCCCGTGCTCCCCCTTGCTCATTCGTAAAACTGGTTCTTACGACATAAGAGTCGCGGATGCTAGCATAGTAGCATGTAGAAGTAGCTAAGCTGCGCACTCCTCCATCCAATGAAATAAAAGGGATATCGACTTATTACCACTACCTACTTTTCTCCCTTCCGCTCTCAGGATTCGCCGATTCGGTGTCTTTTGTTGGGTGTTCTACACTCAAAAAATAAATCACATTTTCGATGGAAAATATCCATTAGAATTACGCATAACTTTCATGTGATCTCATAATTGGGAATCGCACCACAAAATCACATAAACCTTATGTGTCCAATGAAGTTTATGTGATTTATCACATATAATTCATGTGATCATATGAATGTTATGTGAATTTCAGATAAAAATAATTAATTTTGTTATTGGAAAAATATCATGTGCGTTCCCAATGGAAACTATATGAAAACTATTTTCAGTGTACTAAAATAACGCCTATATCAGTGCCAACATTTCAAAGGGGCGTAATTGCTTTTGTAAACAATGACTTTAGCCGTCAATTTCTCGCGAATGAAATCTTACCTCTCCAAAATTACATTGCTAGCTGATAGAGGAAACATTCCTCTACCTGCTGGTGTCATTATTTTTCATGAGTGAGCTTTTATTCGCGAGAAATCGACAGCTAAATCCATTGTTTACAATTGCAATTACGCCCCTTTGAAATGTTGGCACTGATATCACGAATCACTCCGGCAGTCATGCAGTACCTACCTATTTTTTATGTTGTCAATTCTCGTTCTCTTCGGCCGAGATAGTGAGAGCAAGAATTTCCGCCAAGCGGAGCTAGAAAAATATCGTCGGGAACGTATTTTTTGCAGCCCGCTGTGGCGTGGTAGCAATCAAGCCATCTTCAGAGAGTCGAGCGCACCCGAATACCCGAAGTCCGCTCCGCTACTCTCGCTCTCGCTCAAGTCTGAATACACCTTTAAGCTGGGTTTAGACTAGGCAAGTCACTTGATCAACTCAGTTGAATTCAATTGGCTTGAAAAGTTGAGCCTGGTCCATCTTTTTTCAATTCAAGTGAGTTGATCAAGTCAATTGAATGGCATGGTTTACACGTTCAATTCGCGTTCAAGTCAGTTGAATTCAACTGACTTGATCAAATGACTTGCCTAGTCTAAACCCACACGGTAAGAAAAAATACTCAAAATTAAGTTAAAAAAAACTCAACGTTGGGTTCTATCATTTGAGGTCCGCCGTTGAGTGAATCAGAAAAGCGGCGTTGGTTACAATTTACTCAACTATTGAGTAATAATAAATGAACTCAAATATAAGTTTATTCTCATTGAGGTTGCTTTTATGCATGGTTAAACCATTTCATTTTCACAAGCGTTGATAGACGAGTCGTCAACACACGGGCCCCGTAATCTCATCGTCCATGGTTCGGTTCCAGTCTGCTCCGTTTTATTATTTTTTTTTTGTCAACTTGGTCAACGCCAGGATTACTCAAAATTGAGTTTTCTTCTTTAACTTAATTTTACCTAGCCCCACGGAAGCCACGTGATGAGTGAAAGGAACTCAATTTTGGGTACTTTTTTCTTACCGTGCAGCATTATGCATTTCAGTTTTGCCTAGCCTATAGTCGCTATATTCATAGTCTGGCGGATAGAATTTCGATCTATCAAAAAGCGGAACCATTTCAATATAGTGTAGACCAACAATTGAAAAGGTACAATCAACTTTTATAAACAAAACGTTGATTATTCTTTCCTCGCCAATTGAAGGTAAATTACCAGCATCATTGGATGGGGGAAACTTTCCACAACCTAAATATGGCGTTAGTTTGTGTAGGTGAGCCTTTAGTCACGAGAAAACGGTTTCCGAAATTTTGTTCGCAATAGCTGATGTGCTCTTTTCTGTTGTTGGTCGTGATTTGCTCGATTGGTTCCGCTATTTGACAGCTCAATTGGTTCTCGAGATTCCATCCGCCAGACTATGAATATAGCGACTATATACTAGCCTATTGGTCCCTAGTAAATCTATAAGCACAAACGAATTGACAGACGGAGCGGCTTGCGCTCCCGTTTGCGGTGCCTCGTGGTCGTCGTTTCAAGGTAAGGTTATGACCAAGATCTAGACGCAGGGTTGGAAGCAGTATCTGGTTAGACATCCTCTTGACCATACGATTCTACCCCCTCTTGCTCGGATCTTCTAGTGTTTGGTAGATTTGCTGCATCACCAGCATCCGCTTCTTCTGCGAAATCGTACACTGAACGAATTTGACATATTCCTGTTATGTGGAAGTCTAATAAATTTGCGCTATAAGATAATCCATTGAAAATGATATGATTGAAAATGTGTCAGGTAAATTCTATATGAATATCTGATACATTTACAATGCTGATAATTTGGTAACGATCATATCATATGATAAATGAAAATCGATTAAATTATAATAATTAACTGAAATGGATTTGAAACCCATAAGCATAAGCTATACTTTTCACCACAATATAATATATGTGTCATAAATCAATCGAAGTAAAGTTTATGTGAAAATAACATGAAATTTACTTCTTCTTTTGACACATATATTTAATCGATTTCTAAAAATAAATTCGAAAAATAAACATCAGGCAGTGGGAGCTTTTACAGTTGTGCCTTTTTTATTGTAGCTGATTTGGGATTCGATCAAGATCTGTTGAGGTGTGATGCTTTCGGTGTCTGTGCTCGATTCCACTGGGCCACGGCTGACTTCAAGATTGAGCTCGTTCAAATAGCATGAAGTAAGAACAGCTCTCCCGACATGGAATGCAGTGCAACGTTATGCTCGTTTTGCTAGAGTGAAGACAAATAGCACTGACAAATTTATGTTCCGTTTCGGTGGTGTGGTTTGTTCAAATCTTTCTTAATGCACCTGTGTGCAATAAATCAACGACTAAATTATATGATTTGATAGAACTGGCTCATGAAGTTCGAGTACTACTTAGGGCTGGAATCTGAATTAGCCGTGTAGAAGGCTTACATTAGAATCATAGCAAAGTAAATATTACAGTAGAATCATTTTTTTTTTCAATCTCAATACATTCTTTTCTGGAACCAATTATCATATGAATGAGTGTACGTTAACATCGTTGAAAATTGTTTCAATAATTTATAAAGAACAATCATGTAAGATGTATTTTATTGGGAGCGATATTCATCCCAGAAAAACATGCAAAAACAAATGCTTGCTGTTGGATTTCTTAAAAGGCATTTCCATATGACTATTTAATGATTGGGATAGATCTGTTTACAATCTTTAAACGTCAAAAATCAAAGCAAGCTATTACAATGAGATATACATGTTTTCCTATACTGCAAAGTTAAATGACAGTCCAATAGTTTCTACATGTCTATTTACACGCGACATATCAACAAACGTCAAAAATCAGTAAAAGCAACTCCAATAAAATATACATGATTATCTTATAAGATATATATTTTAGCGAGCAATATTCATCATGAAAACAGGTATATTTTACTGAATTTTCTCATAGTGCAAACTTATATGATTTTCCATTAGTTTCTAGATGTCTGTTCCCACCCATGACATATCAACAGTTTTTCACCATGAAATATATCAGACAATATTCATATACTTCTTACCTTCGCTAACCACGTTCGAAGCAAAGTATTATCAAGTACTAAGTATGTGAAATTACTATAGAAATCATTCCATATCGCAGTCATAGTTTTTAAGTGATAATCCAATGGAATCTATCAATCATCACATAGAATGAATAAATCTGCTGACATTGCTATGTTATAAGATGGATCCAATAAACGGTACATGTCGATTTGTTTCAGTGTAAGGAGCCACAAACAAGGTGGGGTCGGGCTCTGCGTTCATCTTGGACATAAACGGAAAATTATCGGGGTTTTCATATTCCACAGCCTGTACCCATTAGGTGCGTAACCGACCATTACTGACAACTGACTCTTCGAATCAAGCTTTTTTCCGGTGCTGAGTGGGAACCCATGCGTATGCCTTGCAGCTAAACACTCTGAGCCTCGTCATATCAGGCTTCTGATTCGTTCACATTTCGATAGGCGTTTTGCTTTCCGAAACAGCATTGGTCGGTGATTTCGAGATTTACAAGGTAGAAGGCGATTTGTATTCGGCGATTTCAAGACCAACAATTGATATGGCCTAACTCCATTTTGTAAACAAACCTTGTAAGACGATTTCTAGACTAAAATTTGAAAAGGGCGGAACTCCAAAATAACCATAGAACTCCAATTTTCATAGATATAATACTAGAAACGCGGATGAAATAAGAACACCACATTTCTTGACTTGCGCTTCACAGAATTCATTGTATTTTAAAGGAGTAAA